CACACACACACACACACACACACACACACACACACACACACACACACACCTTCTTATGTAATATTAAAATGAAACAAAAATGTTAAGTATATAGTTCTATTAAGTAATAACATATCACATCTGTGTAAAAGAAATGTGTTTATTGGAGACAGTCTAAAGGGTATAGACAGGCAAGAAACCAAAACAATTCCTACTCCCACTAACCGGGATCACCAATCAGTACTCACACAGCACACATGCTTACCCTGCAATTTTACTGAACATATTACTTTTACCACTTTGTTGAATAATATATCATCGTAGAAATTGGTATCTTCTTTCCCTTCATTTTAATAAGCTGAGAGTATTTCATGAAATCACCGTTTATTTACCCACTTCTGTGGTGTGGAGCCTTGTGGCCATTTTTCAGGTTTGGGATCTCAGATCTGGGGCCAGGATATGTGTCTTTGTGAATCTTTCTGATGACACATTGCAGAGGCACTGGGCTGTTTCATGCTTCGACTAGTGTAGACAAGACCAGGCACTAGTTCTGGGAAAAGACTGCAGAGAACGTCAGGCTTTGGGGGCGGTACAATAGCTGGCGCAGCTGCTCCGCTGTGGTAACATGAACCAGCAGCGGGTGGAATAGACCAGCCTCCGTGTATCATTAAAACTTTGTTTATAAAGCAGACTTGGGGGTCTGGGGGAAGATGCATGTTTGACCCAAGAGTCTTGGTTGGCCAACATCTGTGCACAGAGAGAGCCACAGGCCGATTACACCTTAGAGGTTTGAAAGAACAGTTAGCTGGGGTTTTATTTATATTTTGTGTTGCTCCCTGCTATAGATAGCAGAGTAGTGTTATTATTTCTTTATTAATTGATCAATTTAAATTTCTGTTATGTACATTTCTTAATTCAAAGGCCACGCCTCCTATTTTGAGAATCCCAGCATATAAAAATGGCAAAACACTGAAACATTTACAGGTGAGCAGTTTTAAATATGTTCTACTGCCTACCGTTTTGCATTTAGACAAAGGAATGTTGGCCATTCAGACGGTTGTCTCAGATGGGCTCTGTCTGGAGGCAGGAGAGACAGAAGCCCTTAACTAAAGCTCTGTACTGCACGTTCTGGGCTGGGGGGTGGGGACCAGGGCCCCCTAATACACCACTCATCATGCACAACGTGGTGTTGAATTAAGCGCATGCCTGTTTAGTCATTTTCAAATCCTGTGCTTGTGTTTCACAGATAAGACCCACATGGGTCTGTGAAGCTGGGAGCAGGGCCAAGTAGAGTCCCATTTAAAGCGGCTCTTGTCCCGAGCTCAGGTGTTGTAGATGAAATCCTCCGTCCTAAATCTCGTTTCAATGCCGACACCCTCTGTGGCTTAGGTAAGTCCCTCGCCCAGGGCTTCTAGCCGGTAATCCGGGAGCTGGCAGCAGTCCATGGAGAAATGCATTTAATGTATTGTGAGTCACAGATTTTGAGGGGCAAACTCAGGGTCCCGGGAGAGCACTGGTAGACCAGTAGGAAGATTAAAGGAACGTCATAATCACAAAATAATGACTGGGATTTTTCAGGTATCAAGGAAAGAAAACTCAGCCCCAATTTGGTAATTTAGTGATAACTTTTTTGCCCCTTCTCATCAGAAAACCCATTAAACGATGATGTTTTAAGCAAAGGGGGGATTCACTCACCTTCTTTTAAGATCACGGTTCTCACTAGAGGTTGGGGACATTTTTGTCCCCTGGGTGATATTTGGAGATGTCTGGAGGCAGTTGTGGCTGTCACAGCTGGTCAAGGGGAATTGGTGCTCTTGGCTTTGTAATAGATAGAGACCTGGAAGCATCCTATAGCATGCAGAAAAACCTTAACAGCAAAGCATTATCTCGGATGGAATGTCAGGAGTGCCAAGGTGGAGAAACCCTGGTCTAAGACAACATTGTTAAAAGAGGTCTTGGCTAATCTTTATTAAAAAGACAAAGGCCATTGCTATCTGTTGGGTTCTGACTCATTGCCACGTGCTAGGATAGAGTAAAACTGATCCGTAGGGTCTCCAAGCCTGTAAACTTAATGGAAGACGACTGTCACATCTTTCTTCTGCAGAACAGCTGGTGGATTTGAACTGCCAACCTTCTGCCTGGCAGCCAAGCTCTCAACCACTGTACCACCAGGGCTCCTTTGTAGTTATTCTTTATAAGGACTCTAAATGAGAAAATGTCCTCAACTCCTTGCAGTGCAGCATTTCTTTTTTCCTAAGAATTGGTTCTTATTCTGAAATCTAATCTGGTAATTCCGATTTCTCCCTCATGCCCTGACAGTGAACTTGATCAGGAGGCTACCAGCCACATTTATGCATTGAATATCCTCTGCTGCTTCACATTACAGCTTTCAGTGTTAAAGCCTCTGCTCTGGAGCTGGCTCCACCTTGTTGACCTTCCGTGGTATATCTGAGGCTGTACAGGAAGAGACCGTTTGCCCCAGGAGCAGCGGGTGGATTTGAACTGTTGGCCTTGCATTTAGCAGCCTTATACTTTATGCACTACATGGCCACGGCTCCTTCGTTGCTGTTGTGACGTGCCGTCGAGTCAACTGCAGCTCACAACAACCCTCTGAACATATCTGAACCTTGCTCCCCTCCTGCACCGTCCGCCCAATCTCTAATACGGCCTCAAGGCCAACAGTTGATCTTCAGTAAGTGCTTCCGGTGTCCTCTTCTCTCTCTGCAAGCAGGATTGTGTCCTCTGCATAACACAGGTTGTTGATTGTCCCCCTTCAATCCTGATGCCATATTCTTCTTCATGTGGTTCAGCTTGTGATGTAGTGTAGCTGGCACTTGGATGCCAAAAGAACATGTTTTAGAAAAAGTTAAGCAAGAGTAGCCTTTGGAGGCAAAGATTTGGTGAAGCTTCATCTTTCGTATTTTGGACATGTGGCTAGAAAAGCAATTCCTGGGAAAGGGACGTCATATTTGGAAAAATGAAGGGTCAGGGAAGGAGAGGAAGCCCTCCAGTGAGGTGGATTGACATGGTGACTTCAGCAGTGGGCTCTAGTGTGGCCGAGATCAGGAGGAGGACTGCACAGGATAGGCAGGATTCATCAGGGTGACTGTTCATTGGGTTGCTGTAAATTGTACTCTACTCGATTGCACCTAACAGCAACAACAACAGCAAAGAGTTCATTTGAGAAGCTGGGCTGTTAGGCTGTCAGCAGGAGTTAAAAACTGCCAGTTAAATTACACAATAACATTATTAAGTTTTAGAACACACTGAACACTGTCCTCCTGATGAGAAGCTATTTCTCTGTATCCTTGTGAAGAATGAAGTGAGAGTGTATGTTTGTTGTTGATTGTCGTTGAGTCAAGCACGATTCATAGTGACTCTGTGAACAGAAGACCTGAAGCCTTTCTGTATTTTACAATAGGATATTATACATAAAAGGAAACAAAGTGCTGATGTATGCTACAGTGGGGGAGACACCAAGGGAGCTGTAGCCCATGAGAGACTCCTGTTGTGTGATTCCACTGGTACACACTGTTTGCTGGGGAACAGGGAGAGTAGGAGAAGGGTGCTTATCTGACAGATAAGGCGTTTCTTTTTTTTTTTAACATTTTTTAAATTTTATTTTATAATTTTTGTGAGTGTACCATCAAATCAGATCTGACTGGTACAGGAGGAGATTGTCCCTCCTTCCCCTGCAGAGCATCTGGTGGATTCGAACTGTGCGCCTCTGGGATTGTAGTTGCAGCTCCTTGCCACTAGGCCACCAAAAGCATTTCTTTTGAGGATGATAAAAATATTCTCAACGATGTGATGAGTGACGTTGTGAATCTTTGAGGAAGTAACTGAATGATGCACTTTAAAATGGTGAGTTTTATGGTATTTGAATTAGATTTCAGTATTGAAAAATGAAAAAGAGCATGAAGGCCCTTTGGTTACCCCACCCACCTGCATGCTTGGTCCTTCTCCAGGCTGCTCGTTCCCTTGGCACTGTCAGAACTCACTGGGCACACGCGAGGTGCCAGCGCCACCCAGGCCGACTGTTGTCTGGGACCGGCTGTTGGTGGGGCGTCCTCTTCCTGGGCTGGTCACTTTGAGTGTGGGATCCAGTGCTGCTGTTGAGTTTAGCGTTTACATCTGTAAACCGTTCTCATTTCCCTGAAGTGACCAGGCTTAAAACTTGTATACTGCATTGAAACAGATCGGGGCGAGACTGTTTAAAAGGGGTATGTGATTAGGTAGTATTGTCATGACAAGAGTCCAGATTGAAGGCAGCATAGTGGAGTGGACTTGAGGGGAGGGATTATACAACAGTGAAAGAATTTTTGTTTTACTTTTCAAAGAGAAGAGTGAATTGGGGGGCGGGGGGAAGTTGGGCATGAATGGAAATCCAAAGTCTCTGTAAACTCATTAAAATTAATTAAAAAAAAAACCCAAAACAAACAAAAACCCCCAAACTTCTGTTACAGAGTTTTACTTTCTTTTTTTGTGTATTTTTATTCATTCGGAGTTTTTCTTACAGGGATCACTTAGATTATTTAGATGAAGGATGTAGGGAGGGCTGGGTGTAAAGTGATGGGTGTCATTTATTGTAGTGCGAAGCACCGAAAGATGGAGGAGGAAGAGGAGGAGGAGGAGGAGGAGGAGCTGGAGAAAGGAGCAGAGAAGCAGGCAAGAATTCACACGAATAATAATCCACAGACGAACTGAGGAAGGAGGAGCAGGTGACAGAGAGAGAGAGACAGGCCGATGTTAGACTTGGAGGTTTGAAACTATAGGGCTGGGTGAGCTTTGATGGCCTAGTGGCAAGAAGCTGCACTGTAATCTCAGAGGTACATGGTTCAAATCCACCAGATGCTCTGCTGGAGAAGGAGGAACAATCTCCTCCTGTATCTGTCAGATCTGATTTGACGGTACACACACAAAATAATGAAATAAAATTAAATTTAAGAAAAACACACACACACACACAAAATCCCCTATAGGGCCGCCCAGGACTTCTCTGTGTATAGTAGGACCTACTGTGTGAGATGCTCAGCCGGGTGACTCAAGTACCAAAAGCCCGGCAGCCTGCTGCCATCTGGTCAGTTCTCATGATGACCCTCTGACAGGGCAGTGCTGTGCTGCAGGGTTTTCCCTGCTCTAATCCTAACATGAGCAGATCCCCACGCCGTGCTCTCGAGAAGCAGAAGTGAGCTGCGTGTGGACACTGCACGTCTCAGAGTTTGAACTACCCAACTGTAGATCAGCAGTGGCACAAACCACCGTACCACCTGTTGTTGTTAGGTGCGGTCGAGTCAAGCATGGCCCATATTGACCTATGAACAACAGATCTGAACTGTGTCCTATCCTGGGCCATCCTCAACATTAGAGCCCGTTGTGATAATCACCATGTCAGTTCACCTGGTCGAGGGTCTTCCTCACCTTTACCGACCCTCTGCCTTTCTGAGCGTCGGGTCCTTCTCCAAGGAACAGCCCCTCCTGACAACATGCCCAGAGTATGTGAGGCGAAGCTTTATTATCTTCGCCTCCAAAGAGCCCTCTGGCTGCACCCTCTCCAAGACATGTTTGTTCTTTTGGCGGTCCATGGGATGTTCAGTGCTCTTCTCCAACACCACAGCTCACAGGCATGTGCCACCGCGGGGCCTTGATTTCCTTCTCAAAGCCACTTCTGAGGTGGCTAATAGTACTCTTTTCACGATAGGAAACTGAAGTCTGGAGGTGTTAAGAGGTAAGTTACCTATGAGGTCACATGGTGCCCACCTGTGCAGGTGCTTCAGCCCCACAGCACAAGGCTGACAGTTGAGTAAAGAGACATTTCCAGCCGAATGCAGTCCAGTGTCAGAGGCCAGCAGCGCTTGCGCAGGACCAGGGAGACCTGAGTGTCCCCAAGGACCGGGAGCTGGTGATGGCCAGGTCTTCACCTTTGTATCCTGGGGTTTAGATGAGAGCTTGCTAACTGTTCCAGGACCCCATCCTCGAAGGAATGAAAAAGTGTGTTAAATCAGCCTTTCTGTTTTCTTTGTGTAGGAAGCCCAAAACCGGGATATTGATGCTGAACATGGGAGGCCCTGAAACGCTGGGGGATGTCCACGACTTCCTGCTGAGGCTTTTCCTGGACCGAGACCTCATGACGCTGCCACTGCAGAAGTAAGCTGCCTGCAACACCTGTGCTCTGTGCCTTCGCTTGCCTCTCAACTGGGGCTCTCCACTTTAAGGTTTAACAGCTCTCTGATAGAGTGGCATTATTTACTTCTGTTAGCCATCAGAAAGACGTGACACTGGAAGACTCACAGAATAGAAAGCAAGCTAGCTAGTGAGGGTTCTCTTCGAGGCCCTTTCTCCCAGAGCCTTGAAAATGATGATTGTCTTGATCTGACACAGCCCGTGCACTTGACATCATACTTTGTGTTTAGTCGCTGATTAGTATCCAGTGAGACAGTGGTTATTATCCATCTGTATGGTGGATGATACAGTCCTTTCTCTTGTCCTTTTCTTTGACCATCTTACTGTATTGTTGCTATGTGCTGTCGAGTCACCTGCGACTCATAATGACTGTATGTACAACAGCCCTAAAGCCTGCTCTATTCTGTGCTAATCTTATTGTCTCTGACACACTTACCCTCATTACCCCAGTCACTGAATCACTCCATCTCATCGAGGGTCTTCCTCCCCTGTGCTGTCCCTTCACCTTCCCAAGCATGATGTCCCTCTCCCAGGACTGGTTCCTCCTTGCAACATGCCCAAAGTATATCAGACGAAGATTCAGAGTCCTTGCCTCCAAAGAGCAGCGTGGCCTTACACTCTTGAGGATGAACCTGTTTGTTCTCCTAGCAGTCTGTGGTATAATCAGTACTCTTCTCCAGCACCACAGCTCAAAGGCATCAATTCTCCCAATTCTCCTTCTGTCATCCCTGGTCATTGTCAAGCTTTCTGATGCATAGCACATAATTGCAAAGACTATGGCCTGGATCAAATGCACCTTAGTCTCCAGACTGACATTGTTGCTCTGCAGTACTTTGGAGAGGTCTCTGACAGCTGACTTTCCAATGCAATGTGTCTTTTAATTTCCTGTGAGTAGTATATAGAGCTAATTAGCTTAACGTTTAACTGTTTCTGTCCATTAGCTGCAGCCCCTCAGAGTAGTAGCACTTTCCTCACTCCCTCCCTGTGGTCCTGAATTCCATTCTCCCATCTTTCCAGTCCCTTCCTGCTGCATGAACTTCGGTTTTGGACAAACGCTGCCCTGTGGCCTTGGATGATTGGTTATTCTGAGGAGGAGCTTCCTCATGTTCCTCACGGGTACGGGGATCACTTTGCAGGCCTGCCTCTAGTTTTTCTGAATGGTGGTCTCCCAGAATGAGCTCAGTGCTGGCTTTGAAGTGTCTGAAGGTTGTAGGTTCCCCTTTCCCCTTCAAAGTAGATTTGTTGATGAAAAATTAGTACATGTGAGTAAAAATGTAAACGGTATAAAAGTGTTCACTAAGTATTTGATAACCTAGTTGTCCATACCAAAGGCAAGCACTGTTCCATCTAGAAGTAGTCTATGACTGTTCAGAGGTGCGTGCATATGTATATATTTACGTGTGTGTGAGTGTGTGTGTTAGGGAGCAGTAGTGGCTTAGTGGTAAGGAGTCGCGCTGCTAACCCGAAGGCACATATGGATCGAATCCACCAGCAGCTCCATGAGATAAAGATGGGCAATCTCCTCCCATGAGATTTACTGCTTCTGAAGCCCCTTTGGCGAGTCAGCTGTGGGTTAGTTCCTACTCAAGGATACTTAGCCTTTTAACAATATGAGCATATATGTATATATACACAAATAATGTGTTCTAGGACATATTAAATAAACTGGATGTGTGTATATACATCTTTATTGAGTCAACTACAATCCACAGTCACCCTATATGGCAGGTGGAAGCCTTGCCACATATCCACACACACACACACACACACACACACACACACACTCTCTCTCTCTCTCTCCCCCCCTCTTTCTTTCCCTCCTCTCTCTCCCGCCTTCCCTCTCTCCCCCTTCTTTCTCCCTCTCCCTCTTCTCTCTCTACCCTTTTTCTCCCTCTCTCTCTTTTTCTCTCCCTCCCTTTCTCTCTCTCTCCCCTCCCTCTCCCCACCCTCTTTCTCCTCCCCTCTCTCCCTCACTCTCTGTCTGTCTCCCGCAGTTGTTGTTGTTATGTGCCATTGAGTTGCTTGCGACTCATAGCGACCCTATGTACAAGAGCTCTAAACGCCATTCTATCCTGTGCCAACCTCGCCATGTCAAACACATTCCCACCATTCCACTCACAGAATCGATCCATCTCATCAAGGGTCTTCCTCTCATTCGCTATCCCTCCACTCTCCCAAACGTGATGTCCCTCTCCAAGGACCAGCCCCTCCTCTCTACATGCCCAAAGTATATCAGACAAAGCTTCAGAATCCTTGAGTCCAAGGAGCATTCCGGCTTCACCCTCTCCAGGACAAACCTGTTTGTTCTCCTAGCAGTCCATGGTATATTCAACACTCTTCTCCAGCACCACAACTCCTCTCCCCCAATACTAGTACCTGTTGCAACTTCCTATTTTGTCAGAATAGAACTGTGCTCCATAGTGTTTTCAGTGGCTGATTATCTGGAAGAAGGTAGCCAGGGCATTCTTCTTAGGTGTCACTGGGTGGATTTGAACCTCTAATCTTTTGGTTAGTCAGTGCATTACCTGTGTATGCCACCCAGAATTCCACAGAGGTGTGTGCCCTCTCCATTTTCTACACAAATGTGAACATGCTTTGGACATTGCTTGATATTTTACTATTTCTTTTTAAACTTCGCCATGTATCTTGGAACCCCTTCTAGAAAAGATTAAGCAGATCTGACTGTCATTTCACAACTGTTTAGAATTTCATTGTACACTGCGTAGAATTTTATTGTTCTCTGTGCCTTAATTATTATTAGTTAACTAGTGTTTCACAGAGAAGCATATGGGTTGCTTACCCAGTTGCAGTGATAATTCTTGCAAATGCATCTTTGCTCACAAATACAGATCTGTAGGGTTTGTATGTCATTTTTTCAAGCTGGAGGAAGAAGTAGCTCGGTGTACTTTATTTCCTAGTTCCTGCTAGATGCACATCTCTCTGCGTGGTGCACAGTGTCCTGGCTTTTGGGGTATCAGCCAGAATGGCCTGGGGAGCAGAGCCGCGTCCTGTGCATCCTGTTCTTATCTAGACTCCAGAGTCGGCTTTTGCCACGACCGCAAGCTCTTGTTTGTCAAAGTCTTAATCTCATTAGGCACCTCTTGAAATTCTGCTTGTCAGCATTTGACTGAGTAGAAAAGTATTTCTCAGGTTTCTAAAGTGGAATAAAATCAACTTACCTCCATGTTAAATGATTTAGTAAGCTGGCACCAATCATCGCCAAACGCCGAACCCCCAGAATCCAAGAGCAGTACCGGAGGATTGGCGGTGGGTCCCCCATCAAGATGTGGACATCGAAGCAAGGAGAGGGGATGGTGAAGCTGCTGGACGAGCTGTCCCCGCACACAGGTAAAGAGCTTCTCAGTTAATGTTGCACCGGACTTGTTCTCTCGTTGTTGAAAGTTGAACTTGGAAACAGTGTTGTAAAGCACATGTGTCCTGTGTACCAGGAGCCCTTGAATCGTGGGGTTTCTGCATAATGAAGTCACTTCACTCCACTCTTGAGGCATCGTCCTTTGTCCTTAACTGTATAGCCTTTTTGTTCACCTACTTACGTTACGGATAAAAAAAGCCAAAGACTTGGAACATTAGCTTCAAAAGGAAGTTTGAGATGTGTGTTAAATTGAGCTGGATTATAAGGCAGGAGTTACCGTCCATGAATAAAAGATGCATATGTCACTGCACTTGACAGAAATCTATGGGAAATGGATTGAGGCGGCTACTATTGCCTTTTCTTTCTGGGTGGATAGCTAATTAGATCAACAACAGGCACCATTTAGAGCCGAGTTAGCGAGCTATCACTGAAGCCACAAGCTACATTCAGCAGCGGCTTTCATCACTCAGCAGTTCCCCTGTTATAAGACATTTAAGTGACTGCTTGTACGTGGTGTGAGAGAGCGGCCAGCCGGCATCAGGGAACTGCCTGAAAGACCTCTAGTACACAGATGCTCACATGTAAGGTGAAAACACTGAGTATGTGAATGAGTGGACTCGCAGTGCTGTGCTTAATCACCATCAATCTCCATTGATTACAAATAATCCATCACACACACACACACTCTCTCTCTCTCCCTCTCTCTGTGTGTGAGTGTCTGTGTCTCTCTCCCCCTCCCCCCTTCCTAGGCTCCAAAGACTCTTAGTGAAAATTGACACTGCACAAAATAAGAGTATCAAATCACAAACTGGAAGGTGATTACATCATTACATAACTACCAAACTACCTCTCTCAGTAACTGCCAAATGTCTGAGAGTCTTGGCCCAGCTGCACTGAAGCATGACCTTAACCATCACAGATCCTGCCCTTCTCGCCTTGCACCTAGGAGGTCCTTGCTGCCAGGCATGCACAAAGTCATCACTCGGCAGGAGTGTGACACAGTGAGGATCCTCCGGGCACTGCCTGGCTCAGCAGGACCAAAACCAGCCTTGCCTTTCCCGTAGGAAGGAGTCCTCAGTGTCCCCTTGAGCTGTACCCACTACCTCCCCTGCATGGAGGGACAGAGCTTCAAGCTGTACCGTGTGCCTGGGCAGCTCAGCTCACTTGAGAAATAGTGTCGTCGTGTTTCTGAATTTTTAGTTTATTCCCGACCTTCAGGCGGGTCTTCCTCAGAGGCAGAGAGAAAGCCTTCTGAGACCCCAGAGTACAGTGAGATGTGAAGCCTGGTGAGTGGACAGACAGCAGAGGCAGGTCCACGCAGGCATGCCTGAGATGCTGGACTAGAATAAAGCAGCACAGAGATAAAGTGACTCACACACCTTTGGGGGTTTCTAAGTGCGTGTAAGATTTACACTTACACTATACTGTATATGTGCAGCCTGGACAATAACATTATACAACTGCCTGAACATTGTGAGGATTAACGCAGTGTGGCTCAGAGACGCAGGGTGGCCACGGGCTGTTGGAAAAATGGAGCCGATAGACATGCTTATCTCAAGGTTACCACAAACCTTCAAGTAGTCAAAAAAATGCAATATCTACAGAACAGTAAAGCAGAGCTCAGTGAAAGGTGTCACCTGGAGGTTCAGCGTTGGAAATGCCTCTTGGGAGCTTTGCACTGAGGACCCAAGGGAATAGCCGAGGATGACCCCAGGCTCGCTCCAGGTACCTTCACTGTGTGGACGTGAAACCTGGGCCTGCAGACCTGCCCCTTTGGACAGGGTGCCCGTCAGCTCCCTCCCTCCTACTTTCTTTCCTTCCAGCTTCCTGTTCTTTGTACCCTTCTCCTCTCTTATTCCTCTCCCCTTGTTATCCTTTCTTCCCTAGAAAAGGAGGAGTGTGTTTTTTTTATTTTTTAAAATATTTTTTTAAAATTATTTTTGTGTG